CGCTGCTGCCGGGGTGCCTTGCTATGGTGGTGAGGCTGTCATGGGGCTCCCAGCAGCAGCACTGAGCATCCCTGCCCACTGGCACTGGGTCCTGCTTGCTTGGCTATGGAGGCCCTGGGGGGAGACCAGCAGGGCAGGTAGCCCCAAGTCTGCAGTGGGCAGCACACATCTGCCCCCTCCCCATGAACTTCACTCCGGCTGTACTGCCCGGGGGGAGCATTGTGGGGAGATGGGTTCCAAGCTCTGCTTCGGCTGCAGCAACTGCTGCCTCCTGTGGGTGGTAGCCAGGGCTTAGGTGCTGCTGTAGGGGGCTGCAGGCCCTGGTCCCATAGCCCTGGCAGCCCCTCAGCTGTGGGCTGCAGCCCACGTAACACATTGAGAGCTGCAAGTGTGGCCCGCTACGGCAAATAGGTTGAGAACCACTGCTTTAAGGAAATCAAAGGAATTGCACAAAAATGGACTGAATAGAAGAAAGAGTGGCAATTCTTTAAAAAAAAAGTGTTCTGAGAGTTTCTTCCACAAAAGCAAAGGCAATTAAATCCCTGTTGCATATGTATTAGCAAAGTGTAAATTCATGATCTGAAAATGTTACCAGCCCCAGCCTGTGAAGGTGTTGAGTCAATGAAAGGATTACTGCACCTAAAAATTAAAGCCAACTAAGCTATTAAAGCTGTGTTCCATCTCCAGCAAAATTATATAAGGACACGGATACCCTCAATTAAACGGTACGCATTCCTTCCATTTCTCTACCTTAAGAGCATACCTGTATTGCTCTTATCTCACCTTAGCCTTTTAATCTTATCTTTTTCAAGCAAGCAAAGAAGCCATCAAAGAACACCAAGAAACATCAAGCTTTCACTCTTTTTGCATACAGGGGCAATACCAAGATTTCAACCTCACTGGTCAGAGAAACGCAGCCAAAGACCTGCCAGAGTATTAGATTGACATCTCTTGTCATGATTTTAATGAAATACTGAAATACTATTGCAATTTAACATAGTTAATTCATCAACAGCTTCTCCTGTTAAACAACAAAATGTATAGCTAGAATAATTTGAATTCACAATTCTTTGTAGTCTTTCATTTGCTGACTTAAGTCAGCTCATTAGACTTAAGGTCACTCACCTTTTATAAAGAATTAATATTATCAGTGATTAGGGACCTACGTAAATCACAGCGAGACAAAGGGATTTTTGTGGGCTGCTCACAGTGCGTGGAGCTAATTTTGCTGTATTTTCATAGCAAGCCTCTCCTTGCTGCTGATTGGCTGAGGGGCTGCACTGGCCCTATGCCTTGCCTGCTGCTGATTGGCTGAGGGGCAAAAACTGCGGCATAATTAAATAGCAAAGTCCGTAGAAATATCAAATAAATTACCGTATTATAAATCTCAGTGTTAAATTTAAATCTAAATTGAAATATAGGTATATAAATTTATACACAACATGAATTGTAACTAATATCATCATAATTTATTATTAGCATTCTACAAAAAGTTTAGTAATACTAAATAATGCTAACCTTGATAGAAACAATTCATGTTAGTTGTTAAAGGCTAGCATGCAGTATCCACTGGCAGTTGCGGCTGACTTCTGTCTCTGTGGTATAATAAACACTTGTCGATATACTGAGATTGCACATTCTGTGTCCACTGAATTGGTTGGAATGGTAAGGCAGCATTTTGCCAAGTTGCAGACATGTGGAAACCAATAAAAAGCAGACTCCCAAAACAGTCACAGTCAAAGGCATCTAGAACCCTTTGATGAAGTTCATGTAAGCAGCACATTCCTTTTCATGCTCTTCCTGCCATCCAGGGACTGATTTCAGTAGCTGAGGCTCAAACCTCAGAAAAGGTACCCAACTGGTGTAAAAAATGTAAACAAAACTAAACAAGGAGGCAGTGGGTTGTTTAAATCATTGTGGTAGTGACTGATCATACTCGTAGTATTGATTCAACTTTGCAGCTATTGCCTGGAACAGTTCTGGTCTCCACTGGTTTTCACATTGATAGTTTGAAAGCTGCTGTGATGCCATGTCTTCAACCCAACTTATATCCATCAGCTTGTTGTGTGCTTGGTGGATCAAAGCCTGCAGACTTTCAAGCCACGTTAGAAGCTCCATGGATCACATTTTCAGCCACAAACTTAACTTGGTCTTCAATGTCGCCCTATCTTAAGAGATCATGTAGTTTAAGCAGGCACCGTGTGCTGGGTGTGATTTCAAGATCCTCGCACACAAACTGCTGGTAGTACTTCATAATCCTGGTATGGTAACAAACTGCATTAAACCACGAATTCCACCCTGTAAACACTGACTCCGGTGGAAGTGACAGTCACATGTAGATCCCTGCTTTCATTGGCAATGGACTCACTGTATCAAAGCTTATGACCTGGACAATGTTGGAATGCTTTTTTAAAAGAGGAACCCCAGGATGTCCATACCAGGAAAATGTATGCGCCAGATGTCACTTACTAAAGAAAGGATGTGAACACTGCAGGTGACATGAATTGCACTGGGCACCATTCCTAAAGAAAGGATGTGAACACTGCAGGTGACATGAATTGCATTGGGCACCATTCCTTGGAGCACATCAGAGAAAGCTTTGCACATATACATTGCATTATCGGACAGATATGCTACTATCTTGTTAAATTCTAAGCTGTAGTTTACAAAAGGCTCCACTGCAGCTTGTGCCACAATAGAAAAATTGACAGATACAAGATGAACCGGCTCTGTTTGAAAACCAGGCAGGTCGTGGTTTGTCCAGCTCCCAGAAATATACAGATCCTAGTTATCTTGGACATCTGTTGCTTCATCTGCTACAATCAAGACTGATTCATATTCTGCCAATGCAGGTTTTGTAGACAGAACATGCAAAGCAATTACTCCTGGTAGATAATCTTGGCAAAGTTTGTTCACAAATGGGAAACTGCCAGCATTTGGCACGTTTGTTCAAGTAGTCCCTTAATTTAGGGTTATCAATTTTCTCCAGAGGAATGTTGGCAGCTGTGACTGCCTCCACTAGCGCAAGTGTAGCCTCTCTTCTTGTTAAACTGCTTTCAGTGGTTCATGAACTATGTCCTCGATCTTTAGGGCTCTCACCTTCAGCTTTTATAGCAGCCTTTCGCTTTATATGCAAATCAGATACTGTTTTTCCTCTACACATCCAGAGTCCCATTGCATGATAAACAAAACAAATTACCACCCAGGCAAATTTCCTACAGGGAACTGCCTTACATGATCCTGAGCTGAAATGTATTTAGCTTTCTTGGATTTACTTCCACTCATCATCTTCAGACTGCAGCATTGCATCTGACTTCTTAAAAGATGGCACCAAAAATCTTTTGCTTTCCTGACTGGTGCTTTCACTGAGTCTACATTACTAGCTCAGCATCTCTCTCTCAAATCCTGTGCCCTATGGCTGCAGGTATTGCCACACTTTCTTTGTATTCCAGTAAGCTTTTTATTTCCAAGCAATTTTGTGAAAAATCAGGGGAAATGCTATTTTTCACAGTAATCATGGATACTGCCATTTTTCACAGTTTCCATGAAAATTGTGAAATGCAATTTAAGTAGGTCCCTATAAATGATAAATCAAACCTACCTGCACAAGTTTCCTTTGCCCATCTATAAAGCTGTTTAAGTTATAAGATACATCAAAAAAGCACTCTCCACTAATTTTGGAAACCTTACTTTTGTCTTAGTTTAATTTCAGCTGAACACCCCATGACACATGGGCCCAATTTTGAAAGGTGTACTCTCGGTTCAGAGCTCTCCAGAGATGCATACAAACAGGGACTGTAACTAACAGAACCATAGTTTTTATTTATTCTTTAATAAAAATTAGTCAATAATGTTGGTTATATAGCTTGTTTTCAGTCATGGTATCTTCTAAAGCATAACAAGGAACTCTATACAACTAAAATACTGAGAGTCAGATCCCTGATTTGGCACTGACACACAATTAAGATATGGCCACCCACTTCTTTTATCGACCAATGGTTCCCAAACTATAGTCCAAAGCAAATCTGTAGATTATATAAAGCCTACCCAACAGTTAGATTTTGATAAGGATATGTTCATGGTCTGTGAGAAATTTTGAGGGTTGACAGTGGTCTATTGGTCCAAAACATTTTGGAACCACTGCTCCAGACTATCCATTTTAGCAATTTTAGTATCAAGTACTTGGTACTTAACCTGAATAACCTCTTTCTACCTCACAGACACAAAATAAAAATCCTGCTAGATCAAATTTCAAACCAGAATCAGCTATAAAAACTTTATTCTTGTTACAAATTTTTCAAACCAAGGAAAATGATAGAAAAATTATATTTTCCAGGAAATGCCATACAATTTGTCTTGGAGCCTGATTCAGCAAAAAGTGGGATACAAAGTTAATATAAGGCATTTTCCCCCTGTCTTAAAATGTGACTGCTAGAGAAATTTTATCCACTGTTTTTGAAGGTTGCTTTTCCTCTAGGGGCTGTTGCAATGTCTAATTTTCCTGTACAAATATGACAAACCACACAATTTTATTACTAAATCAAAAATATGAAACCACAAAACAAAGACAACTACAATCAGGAACAAGCATGAGTTTATGACGTGGCAGAAAAACTTACAGAATCCAAAGTCAAGTCACTTTACCGGTGGGCTTAAAATGGAGGGAATATGAATTTGCAGAAGCATGGATTCCAGATTTCCTCACACTATATTCTATCCCTCCGTTTATGAATATGGGAGGATAGAAGCGTACAATTTTGCAAGTGTAACAGTAAATCTGGTATCTGACAATTTATCTTGTTCAAGAGGCTTCAGATTTACCAAATTTTATTGTCTTAAGAGAAGTATAATATACTTCAGAACGTCATGTTGCTTCTAATAATGGTATTAACATTGAAATTCTGAACAAGTAACAATATAGTAAAATGTTTCTGCTTATGACCAAATTAGCAGCTGATCAACCAAACATTCAGAAAGCAGGCACTAGAGAGACAGATTACCTTCAGTTGATTATTGAAAATATCAATCTCCTGAAGTTTAGATCTGGTTTCTTTTTCTACTTCATCTAACTGGTCTCGAAGCTGCTGGCGTGCTAGTTCCTTGGCTTCTAAGGCTCTTTTGATAGTAAGAAGTGAATCTCCTGTTTTTAAACATATTGTCAAATAAATATTTTCAACCATTGACATTTTTATGTCTCAAAGAACATTGTTTTTCAACAGGTCAGTTGCAAAATTAAAGAAATGTATTATCAGTATGGATGATACATTGTATAAAAGACTCAAACATATAAAATATACTTACTGTGCAAACTGTTTTGCTGAACTTGCTTTAACTGGTCATTGAGTAGCTGTTTTTCTGGAATTAATCTTCCAAGCATCTGCTGAGACTCCTTTGGGAGGAAACAGGAGAACAGGTGATTGATCTTCAGTAGAACTAGCCACACACTTCCCACAGGCCAGTTTCCCTTTTACCAAGAATGTCTTTTTCAACTCCAACGCGAACAAAGAATTACCCAAGTAACTTTTATGTGATACCATTATTCAGTGACAGAACTGCCTACCAGCACATTCAAGCTCCTTAAGAAATTAGTCAACTCGAAGTATCTTACTTAGCAAATCCTGAACTGAAAATTTTTTTTAAAAGTAGGAGAGAGATCAGGATAGACTTCATGCAGTTCTGAATCAGGTTGTCAGTAGCACCTTACATAAAAAGTAATTTCACCAGGATTAGTATTATTTAAGGATTGCCAATGTTATTAATATATTTTTTTAATTATGACTTTTAATGAAACCAAAAATTAGGAAGCATGTAGACAACCAGGTAAGAAAAAATGTAGTTTTAAATATCTGCTTAGTGCCCTAGTAGAGACCACTGCTTTACTGATATCCAGAATGTTGCCAGCAAATAATCTGGCAAACTGCCTGTGAATGAGATTTTCTTCAGTGGATCATAAATAATCTCTGTTGTTTCTGGGGGGATAACATTTTTCATTTAAACTTGATACTTTTGTATGCCTTAACCCTCAAAGTCAAGCTGTTGAACCAATTACGGAAGCCTGATGTGAAATGACTTTGTTTCTAAAAGTAGTCAGGGTATCAGTATCTCAGTCTTAAAACAAACTTTCTTTTAAGCAGTTTATTTCAGCAGCACGGTGCTGAAGTCACAGTTCTTTGAGGAACTAAGGACCTGACAACTTGCATTTGTCATAAAGGAGCACGAATGACAACTTAGCCATCAGCACAATCTTCACATAATTGTTTAATCCTATTGCAAGTCCAGTGCAAGAACACTTGTTACAGTGGTATATAAAGGATTTATTTCATGGCTATCCCACTTCATGTCTGGTATTCTTTATAATTGTGCCACCACTATATACAGTTCTCATATTTGTTACACGCTGTAACCATGAGCATTTCTAACACGCTACATTCAAAATGTACATTAAGACAGTGCAGTAGAGTCAAGCACTCAAAGTTTATTGTTGCACTCCATTCTCAGTTCTGGCATTTCTTAATTTGGCCTCCTTGTGCACATGCATTATGATACAGACTTTACTTACATCATCCTCTATCCTCCCCATCTCCCCTTTACTAGGAACCTATCTCATTTTATAGTTGCACTTACTACAATACAAATAAGTCTGTTTCAACCATTCAAGGACATGTTAATGGCTGTATAAGTATGCCATGTAATCCTCCTCTATGAAACAGAATAGATGAAATACAGAAATGCATAACATATTTTCTTACTGATGTTGAAAGTTTTCAGAAGTGTACCATACAGACATTATAGAAGTGAAACTTTAATGCTCCCCCTCCCCTCCCCCCCAACATGCTTCAGCTTTCTTTCACAGTCATGGGTAAACTGATAGCATATGATCAGTACAGAAAAAAAACCGCAGAGGATATAACCCCACAATTAGTACCTCTATAATACTTAGGATGCATACAGACATTTGGGGAGGTTAGATCACATTAAAAATGGCCACCTGATATAACTTAGTTCGCCCAGATATGGTCTTAACACTGAGATCCCTAGTTATATCAATCTGAGTATGAACTACACAGAAGTTTTGGGACATTTAGATCAGTCTAAAAATGGCCAACCAATCTAAGTTAACCCTACCTCCAAGGTAATCTAACTTAGATAGGGTTGGCCATTTTTAGATGGATCTAACTTCCCTGAACTTCTGTACAGTTCCTAGTACAGCCCTAGGGATGGGAAAGGCCAGCCGCTGGCTACTTGGCACTGAGCTATTTTTAGTTCCCCTAGCCTCTCCCCCACCCCCAAAACAGTCAACTCCCTCCCCAGCCAACTAGCCAGCCCCCATCACCTCCCCAAGTCCTCCAAACCCCCCATCCTGCAAGCTGCTCCCACTGCTGGTTTTACTAGCATTCACCAGTGCTAGGAGCCAAGGAAGTAAGTTGGGGAAGGGTTGGGGGAACAGGTGGGGGTGGTGGTTGTTCATCTGGGGTGGTGGTGAGGGGGTTAAAAACAGCCCCTGGTCCTGGGGGAAAGAGCCCCTCCATGGACCCCATGACCTCCCCTGATCCCACCAAACCCTCCTGGACCTCATCAACCCCCTGCAGACACTGCCTGAACTCAATCTCCCTGACCCTCCTAGAGCCTGCTTGCCTCCCCCCCAATCCCCGCTAGCTCCCACAACCCAACTTACCTTACATTGAGTGACCATTTTTTACTTGATTCGATCTCCCCAAATGTCTATACACAGGTCAAGAGAGAAAACTTCTAGCTAACATCTTGTCACATTTCAATACATTACTTGAAGCGACCAACTCTCATGCAATATATCTATGCAACTCTTTCCACTTCTGCTCATTTCAAACTCTTCCTCCTCCTTCACCTTCTGTTTCTTACATTTGCTAGTGTTCTCAGAAGGACTGTGTCTTAAAAAAAATCTGCCCCAGTATAATGGGAATCTGATCCCAAACACAGAATTCTAGACATTACTCTAATATAAATAAAGAACCAGCATCTTTTGATATAGTAAAATCTTGCTACTTGTTTGCTATTGCATTAGACAGGCATTGCAGACTCTCTTATCTTTTCTCACCATCAAGGCCAACCAGTGAACACAACCATTAGTCCATTTAATGACTTGTGAATTAAGATGTAAAATACTGTAGCTCATTTGTTTCCCCACTCTACAGAGGTGCCTCTGACTTACATCATGTGCTGTCATGCTTAAAAGCTGAAGGCTTCTGTTTGTTATTTGTATATATTGTATATCCACTTTATGTTGCCCTTATTTCTTCTCTTATTTTTCTCACTCTGTAGAGAAAAACTTCACTGGTTGTATAGAAATCTGTTTTTACACTGGCTAAATAAAACCTTTCAGTCTGCACCAAAGTACACATGTCTAGGCAAGCATCCTGGAGCCTCAATGACCAGGTATTACATCAGTCACTATATTAGGCTCTGCTTTGTTTTCAAAGCATAAACCTAGAGAGTGGGAAGCTCATGAGCTCCACAGGAGTTTGGATTTAGGTCTGTGGTCATGCTTATGTTTTAAGAGAATGAATTCTGTTGTCTAGGCATTCTCAGGACTAAATGCTCATTTCTTTGGTTTGGCTTGGCTTTCCCTCAATTTTTGTACACACTAAAATATGACCACAAGTAAATAATACAAAAAAAAAAATCAAACAAAACATCTTAAAAATAAATAGGCTATTTTTCCCTGAAAGGGGGAAAGAAAAACAGCAAGGAAGACTCTTAATGGTATTTAAAATCTAAGACTGTGCTTAAGTATTTCAAATACTTGGGAAAACAGCATCAAGCATCTTAAATGCTTCAGATGTCAGTTTCTGAAAGAAGTTTCATGCGTACATTTCAGACACTGAAGCAGTTAGTGATCTCATGCAAGTATAACCAACAACTGTTTTGTTTATGCACTACTTTCCATCCTGAAGGATTGAGAAGCTTTGTCTTTTTGGTTTGTGTTTTTGGGGTTTGTTTTTTTTTTACAAACTACATATGAGATGCTTGCTTTGTCCGTTCTGAGGGGACTGGCGATGACTGTCAACAGTTTGCAGCAATAATGGTGCAGTGGAAAGTGAACGTATTTCAGAATACAATTACATAAGATAGCCTTTGTCCAGGATATGGGGACAAACACGCAACGTACAAAGTTGTAAAGAACAAATACGAACTACAGCTATAAATACACCACAACTTACCTAAATTTACATTTCTCCTCTGAGGTGAAAAGTACACTATTTCTGGTACTAGCTCTTAAAGTATTTAGGAAGAAGAGACATCTTTAGGTGGCTATTACTTTTACGTGCAGATTTGGTTCTAGGAACATTTTGTTGGCAGCTCTTTGCGCATGTAGAAAAAGGAATCTTACTATATACACTTCCTTCCTTGCAGCCAGATTTTCCTTTGTTCAGCTGCTATTTGTTAGCTTGTGAGAAGAAAGATTTGTGTAGTAATATCTTTCACTAGACCAGACAGGACCATGCTATATGATATAGTATAGTTGGCCCAATATCTGTCATTAGAGTAACTAGAGAATGCAAGAAGAAGAGAGAAAGAGCAAAGGGCACTAGATCAAGCAAGAAACTAAATCAAACAGAACACCCTGTTGTGCTTTATTTGCTAATTTCATTTTTGAGGGTTGGAAGGATTTGGTTAGAAATGTATATGAAATATTCATATTTGTAAGATAAATCCCCAAACATAGAGACTTTTAACTAAAACTTTTTATTTCCCTAAATTCTTTTGGAGACTTTCCTACATTTTTAAAGACTATTTAAGGTTGCTGTATATAATCAGAGGCAGCCACCTTCAGTAATTCCTCAGCATAGTTGTAAGAGCAACATGGGATCCATAGGGATGAAAGACACTATATGCATGAACTAGAAGTACTGTTCATGAAGTGGCATATAATGTTGAATGGGAAAGCCTGATCAGAATTACTGCCCAAAGTGGGGGAGAATAAACAAACCCCCCCACAAGCCTAAATGCTAAGCGCAAGAAAAAAACTAGAATGCTCACCTGTAACTGCTGTTGCAAATGGGTAATTTCTGCAATTCTCAGTTCTCTAGATTTGTTTGTGCTCTCAATTTCTTGTCTTTGGGTAGACAGTCGACACCTGATATCTTGAAGCTTTCCCTCCAACTGATGTTTTTTATCGTTCTTCAGGAAAAAAATGTTTTGATTACTGAAATAATTTAATTAAATTGTAGATTTCATGTGCTTTCTAAAACTAACAATGTTTTAATTCTACAACTGACTTACTAAGATGTAATTATGGCAACTAATTAAGATTATATAACTACACTCATTACTGTGGTCTTGTGCTGTGCATTATAAGCACCAGCAAATATTTCAAATGCAAAATAGTTGGAATTGGTTGTCCTTCTATACAATAAAATATTTTAATCCACAACCTTTTAAAAAGATCTGTACTTACTAGAGCTTCCAACTCAAATTCTAACGTCTTTTTCTTTGCTTTCAGAATGACTATATCTTCTTGTTCCTTGTTTCTTTGATTTAATAGCTCTTGCCGACGATTACGCTCCCATTCAAGTTGTCTTTGCCTTTCAAGTTCCCTTTTTGCTGCCTGTAGTATTTAATAAAAAGCCCCAAACCCCAAAACACAGATTATTTGAAGAAACGGCTGGTCAGAATCCATCCTACTTCTTCATCAGAATACACATGTTGTAAGGTTTCAGTTCAGCAAGGTACACAAGTACATGCCTATCTTTAAGCAGAGTAGTTTTATTGTTTAAAATTAGGTAATTGCTTAAATGCCACGATGGATTAAGGTCAGAGTCAGGAAAGTGTGCCATTTTTAAAAGACGTGCATCTCTTCCATTACCATAAATTAATCAATAATTTAATTTGCTGAAATGCCATATTTACCAAAATCCAAGATGAGGTCTTTTCCCCAATTTCAAGGTGGGGAAAAAAGCCTCATCTTAGTGTACTCATTTGAGTATAGGCCTGGCGCAGGCAGCAGTTCAGCTCCAGCTTTGCTGTGGGGTTGGCTGAGCTGCAGCCCACTGTCAGCCAGGGCAGCATGTGTGGTGGGGAAGGGGGTTTGCAGTGGAGGGCATGCAGGGAAGGCCATATAGTGGGGGGCAGGGGAAGACCCATGATATGCAGCTCAGGGGAAGCGCAAAAGAGACCGCACTGCCTGTTTCCCCTTCCTCTTGCCCCAACAGCTGCTTACCTTCAGCTCTGGCTCCAGTCCCAGCCCTAACCTGGCTGGGCCCAGAGCTGCCACCATGTCTTCTCTCAGCCTGAGTTGGGCCAGACCAGTGCTGCCACTGCTTCTGACTATCCCAGAGCAGGAACTTGAGTTGTATAGAAGGTTGAGAGTTGCAGGGGATAAGAAATGGGGGCAGAGGGTAGGCAGCAATGGGACAGAAGTGGCAGAGGTGGAAGGCACCAGGGCAGACAAGCAGCAAGTGGGACAGGCAGCAGGGGAGCAAGCACAAGCACAGAAGCAGGGGGGCAAAGGGTGGGGATCTGGCCCCTTGCCCCCTGCTGCTGCTTTGTGGAGCACATTTAAGATGACTCTCCAATAAATAGCTTCTATACATGGAAAATCATAACAAATTTATAATTTTCCATGTATAGAAGCTACTTACTGGGGAGTCATCTTAAATTCAAAGTCACATTGGATTCAGGTGAATTCAGTATATAATCTGCTTCTAACTGATAGACACCAAAAACAAACATCACAACCAGCTCAAGTATAGTTTCACAGAAAGCTAAAGTCAAAGGCTGTTCCACCCAATTCAAAATTCTGTTGGTCTTGAGATTTCAAACATGGTAGCTTTTCCTAGGCCTACCATTAAGTGCAGAAGGATGATGAAGTTCTATTCCCATGGAAAAGTTTGGTTCATCACCAAAGCAGAATCACTTTATATTAAAAAAAGTTTTGAAGTCAGAGGTTAAGAGCCATGTACAGCCGTACATTTCTAATGTTTAGAATTTATCAGACATTCTTACTGGTGGAAAATTAGACTAGAAACAGGAATGTATATCTGGGCAACATATGCAGCATTGAAAGCCTGCAGGACTGTGAACTGGAGTGGAGACAGCTTCTCCACTTCTTGGCTCCTAGGGCTTTTCAATCCCTACCCTAGCTCCCTAGGGGACCAAGCTTGGGGACAGCCTCCCTGAGCCTGACTCTCAAACCGTGGGAATCTCTTGCACCTGCAAGGTTGCTGGAGCCCAGGCAGCCTTGCAGCCACAGCACTGACATCCCCCCTCCCCCTGCACACCTCCCAATTGAACTGGACGCATGTGGGGGGTGGGAGACAATTCTCCTGCTGCTGCTGCAAAGTTGCCCAAAGCTGGCTATCCTTGCAGCTGCCAATTGGCTGGAGGGCTCCTGCCCTGGGTGCTATACTTGTCTCCCATTCTCTCACTCCTCAGAGTTGAACCAGAGGAGTGCACTGGGTAGGGGCTCTTCTCCCATGGCTGGAAACCTCCCAGGGCTCTGGGGGGATTCCTGCCTCAGGAGAATATCACCCCTGTTAACTGACTGGTGATACAGAGGGCAGGGTCCCCACAGGGTTCTCTGACAGCTTGCTCCTGGAGAAGGAAGAAGGGAAAGTAGAGGACAGTGGGATAGTGGGTATCTCTCTCTCCCAAGAGAGGTGTACAGGTAATTAGATTAGACTGGAAGGAAGAATATCTTCCTTGTTGGTATCTGATCAACTTCTTGCAGAAGAACCATTTTTCTTCTGCAAGAAAGCCCTTGAACTTTTGTAAGCTCTTCTTTTTGTACCAGAAGAAAGGCTTTTCTCCTGGCACAAATGGAACGTCTGTAGATGGCCTAAGAGCTTTCTATTCTGAACCTGTCCGACCCATTCAGATAAAGTGAGATATTTCACAATATCCTACTTTTACATGAAAGAATGGATGGTTATCTATCTCTAGCTCCAGGAGCCTAGACATTTGAGTGTGTGTCCTAAATATCTTTCCTTGCTAGAAGTCACTAGCAAACAAATTCGTTTCCAAGGAAATGTAAGAAGATGCAAAAAGCCTTTTTCTAAAGATAAAGCATATTTAGGGTACTTTCTTTATTTTGTTCAGCTCAGTTGACAATATCCAGTGATGGAATCACCCTTGAATCCACCCACTTACCTCTCGCCTTTCAATTTCTTTCCTCCTTTCTTCTTCTCTCTGACGTTCTAATTCCCGTTGTTTTTCCAGTTGCTTTTCCAGCTCTAGTTGCCTTTTACGTTCTTGCTCCTGTCGTTCACGTTCTTTCCTTTCCTGCTCGGCTCGTTCCAACTGTGCTAGGCGCTCTTGCTCTTTGCGTTGTTGCTCCAGAAGGGCTTGCCTCCGCTTTTCAAGTTCCAGGTTGCCACGTTCAAAATTTTCACGTTTTTTATCTTCAAACGTTACTTTGAAGCAATAAAGTGCATATGTTGAGATTAAGTATTATTAATTGTCTTTAAAATGCCCATGTAAGCATAATGAAATGGCAATAGTTTGCACTATGGAACAAGTTTCCAAAAGTATTACATGAGACTTTTAACAATCAGTATTTTTACCCAAATCCAAAACGACTTCCAATTTAAGGCAAGCCCCCAATAATTTAGTTTCCAAACATGGAAAAATATTAATCTGTAAACATTTTCCATGCTAATTATTGGAGGGCTGTTTTAAATTAATTCCCCTCACTCTTGCAGCAGGGGTCAGGCCGACTAACTTCTGCGCTCATTCTACTTGTCTCCCCCACTCTCTGGTGCCTGTTTCCCCCAGTGTCTGTCTCTTTGCTCACCCCACCACTTGACGCTTCAGTGCCTGCCCCCCAGCCACTTGCCCCCTCCGCCTACCCTACATGGTGGCTCTGGCTCTGGCTTTGGCCAGAGCACACAATGGCTCCAGCCCTGGCAGACAGAACCAGTAGTGACAGGGTTGGGACTGGAGCTGCAACTGGAGCTGCAGCAGCTCCCCTGCCATTGTGTTGTCTCCTCCACACTTTCCCTGGACCACAACAAACAAACTCCCCGTGCTCCCCACAAAACACATGATCTCCCCTTGTTCCCCTCTTCCCACATTGCTTTATCTCCCCCAAATGCCTCCCCCAGTACCACTTCCTACAGATCAGGGCTGGAGTTGGAACCAGAAGAGATGGAGCTGCAGCATCCACTGGCCCCAAACTGTAGTTGAATATTAGACAAGATGTTTTCCCCTCATGTTGAATGGACAAAAATCCTTGGATTCGGGAAAATACAGTAACACAAACTGCATGGGTGCTTTTTGATCTTGTCACTGACACATACATGTTAGTCCCCACGACAGCCCATGTCCTGTCTCAGCCCCTGAGTTCTTAAGTTCTACAAAGCCCAGTTTCTACTTAACAGTGTGGAAGGGAGCTTAGGCTATCCACACCTTTGGTTTTCCTCCTGATTCTACAGTCTGAAACATCTCATAACATTTGGATGGGATAAATAACAATAATTTGTTGCTCATCGAGAACCAACAACCCAACTTTTAGGGGGTGGGCACAGAAACAAGTTACTGAGAGGAAAGAAGTGTGGTGTTTTACCACATACTCACTGTTCTGCCTTAAATATTTATGTGCACACTCTTACTCCATAATAAATAATAGCTAACCTGTAAGAGCTTAGCCTCAATGAAAGACATGAGGATAGAAAACATTAGGAATTTCCTGAAATATTGAGAACCACTATAATGCAATATCATGGAGGTAGAATCTAAGTTACTACAAAGTCCAGAGACTACAAGCCTGAATGCATTAATTTATTGAGACAACTTTTGAAAAGAGCACCCAGTCAGCTCCAAGTCTACTGTATAGCAGTAAAGAGCCTCACTGGACTGCACCTGGATGTTGACATTAAATATGTTCACCAACTGCCATTTTATTTGCAGTACTTATTTCACAGTAGACCATATGTAGAAGAAAGTAAGCTTCAGTTAGAAGTACAATCCATCAGTTTACAAACAATAGAATGGCAATTGCAAGAAATCCTGCATAATTTGAAGTCACCACTGTAATACACTAGGTTTGGAAAACATGACACAGAGCTGGTCTTGTTTTACTTACATGTTGTTTACCACTTGGAACAAAACATTTCACGTAAAAAATAAATGAGCTGAGAGACCAGAGCAGAGATCTTCAACCAGGGTGCCCTGAGATTGTTTCAAGGGTGTCATGGAATGTCACGTAACGTTAGCACTGTTAGGTATGCAAACACGATTTACATGATAAACCCAGAAATTTCCAATAGGAATCCAGAGCATCAAAAACATTCTGACCTGCTGTTGTCTTTCTGAGTTCTCTGCAGCAGAAAAACTGTTCCATTATTATTCCCTAGTCAAAAATGAGTGAAAACTAAGAGCTAGCTTCATCCAAGCAGTGCCCTGAGTCTAAAAAGGTTAAACCTCTTGCTCTAGCACTGGCAGTAAAGCACTGCAAAAGTAACCTGGCTCAGGTGTCTGTTGGGGGTTGTCACTACCTCCTATCATGCTAACATTACCCCCATCAGGCTGTTATGGAGAGATATAGGTGGGCTCTACCAAGTTTGTTTCAAATCAATTGAACACCTTTACTAGAAAGGCATTTTGGCAAACAAGCAGTTGGCATAGAAAATGGGAATCATTGGCACTCTGAGTGCTGCTGGATAGCACAAAAAAATTTGTCTCTCTGGATTTCTAAAAGCAACAGCCAAAATTTCAAGATCAGCCCAGATGGCTGCTAGTTCTTACTAGTACTTTCTCAACTATGGTGATGGAAGCGTCAATAGTTCTTTAATAGATTCAAGTATCTGAAGTCATTTATTTGTATTCAGAGAACTTTATACCTTTTAAATAGAGAACTAATAAAAAAGATATATTAAAAGCATACAATTTGCAATGAAAAAGGTCTGTCCATACATACCTATCCTCAGAACAAAATCTTAAAAGAAAGTTTTAGCAGAATATAATCTTATTATTGCACATTATGCTAGCAGTTAATAGTACTTTCTGCTAAGTGCAAAATGTATCCAAAATTTGCATTCACCTGGCAATTTTTTTTCTGGTTGCTGCTGTTCTTCTTCCAACACTGGTTCTTCTGGTAACCTTTGGTCTACGGACACCAAGCTTACAGCAGAGACGCCACTGCCAGAGCGTACTCTTCTGTCAATTAAAGATAGTAACAAATTATTTGAAGCCACCTATGCCCACCCATAGGTGTGCTTTATGGTTATAATTTAAGCTCAGGTGATGAGGAGCTACAGGAACTACCAAGTTCAGAAAAAAAAAATATTATGTGGAATAAGCGCGTTATCATCTATAAGGTAACATTTTTAAAAATCTGACAATATAAGCATATGCCAACGTATATTTTCACTGGATTTTTTTTCCTTGGAGAAGCACAATGGAAAAACATATAGAGTAACTCAACATTATAATTCCATAAATACTACTGAACCATAAATCAGAATTTGCCACTATAAAAGTCCAAGGCAAGCTTTGAATTTTTAAATATTTCAGCTGAGGGAAGGACAACTAGATTTTTTTATTTGAATTATAAAGCTTTCAGCTCTGTTTCTTAAAATTCAGGTGTCGGCAAGAGCTGTACCTTTAAACAACTTGTAGCAGCAAAGTTTTCATTTTCAAGTAACTAACACAGCAAGCCAACATTTTTAAAAATTGAAGACGTTTCCCAATGAGAGGATATTGCAAGACATCTGAGCAATTATAGGTATGGACCTACTCAGTTTACAGTTTCTGGGATTTTGCAGAAATTGTGAAATTGGGCACTGTCTGCAAAATCCACAGGGGGAAAAAACCTCACTAAAAAGAAAATGCTGGCTCACCTGTTGGTTCTCATGGCCACTGCAGCCTGGCTGAATGGCCAATCAGAGGTAAGGGGCAGAGCTGTGTAAGAGACAGCCCTCTCAGCCAATTAGCAGCAAGAGGCAGGGGGTGCATGATGGATGGCCCCCTTGACCAATCAGCAGTGAGGAGTGAGGCCACCAGGGTGTCCTTGGCCAGAAACATGAGTGAGCCCTGCCGTGATAAGCCCACAAAAATGACAGTCGACGCCATAATCAGCATGCAAAATCAGCCACCTGCCTCCTCAATTTCAGCAGGTCCCTAATTATAGGTAACAAGCTAAATTAGTCTCTTCCAGAGCTTCTTGTCCTTCACATCTACAGTACTGAATTGAAAGGTTTCCTGCCCCCCTGCCATGCACTCCCGCTAAAAATCTCCCAAAGAGTAATTCATGCAGAAACAAAATGACACAATTACAATAGTTTTACCTAAATGAAGGTGGAATATATTCTGGAGGCAGTACAGGTGGCAATGGCTGGCCGGACATGGCCACATCAATTAAATGCATAGCCAGAATAAACTCTTCTGCTGTAAGTTTCCCATCTTGGTCAACGTCTGAAAGATTCCTGTTTAATGAAATGACCCAAATAAATACTGGGGAGGGAATGGGGGGAGGGGGAGAAAAGAACAAAAAACCCCAACAACAACAATGTTGTGGCTTTAGGTAGCACCATTCCTACACTGTAAGTCTGAAGTAAGTGTTACTACTTTTTAGACAGACAACAACAATTTTCATCCAGTTTAAAATATATTGCACATTTATCCCAAAACCAGATACATCACCTTCCCTACCCATCTGTCATCTCTGCTCCTCCTCAGCTATATCTTTGGCCTAGCTTCTATTGCCTCAAGCCTTGAGTTACCTCTCTGATGCCTATGCCCCAACTCCATGGGAGAAAATTCTCCTGCTCCTCCTAAAAATACCCACCTCATAACAACATTTAAGTTGGGTTAAATTGGACTGGTCAGTAGTGATACGGCAAATCAGTACATGCCCCTTCAGGCCGATATCATGTGCTAGGATTTATGAGCATTTATATACATACTTTATTTCTCGGGATGCACCAGAGATCCCCCGCTTTGAAATAGACTCGATTAATTGAGTCTGCTCCGCACACAAGCTGAGGCATACTGCACTGCACCGCATGCAGTTCTATAAGTGGCAAAATGCATATCAGTGTGCAGAAAGTGGAGGCAGTGTGCTTTTAAAACTAAAGCACCTCTGACGTGTTTTAGTTCAGAAGCGCATCGCCACCATTCTCTGTGCTAATGCACATTTCACCGCTTATACACTGCATGCATCGCAGCTCCCAGCGCTGCGACACATACATGTGCAAAAATGCCCTACGTTTCCATTTAAAACAAAAGTTAAGAGTGGAGTCCTGACAAGTGCAAGGAAAATTTAATGTTTACCAAATATAATCTGATTGCAACAATCACTGCAAATGATATAAAATAGGAGTTCAGACAGAAGAACAAGATGCCTTTATCCATACTAATGTGAAAATCTAATCCTTCACTAGTACACTGGTGATTCAAAACACACAGAAAAGCTTCAAAATAGGAGTGCAACATTATTCTGGATGTCTCCAGGGCTTTGCTTCTGGATAGGTTTTGGAAGAAGTTTTATTCCCCGTATCTGAACCCTGTTTGTGCCTCAGGTGCTTAGCCAGCCCAACAACAGCACCGGCATCAGCTCATAAATCTTACCCTTACACAGCAACCACCCTGGCTCCACTTCTAGGGGAAAAGACTCAGGAAAAGTGAACAAGATTCACCCTTATGAAAGATGTGAATGCCCTCTGTTAATCTCAATAGAGTTCTGGCAGTGTTAAGGGGCAAAGCTGCCAAGCAGTTATGTTCAGAACTTCTGGAATGTGTCAACCCTTTTCCTTTCCACTCTATTTCAAGCTCCAGTAACAAGTATAAAGTCTTCAAGTTTGTGATCTGCTGGATGACTGCGCTGCCATAAAGTAATTGTTTCTTATAGCAACTTTGTTAGGAGGCATAAGAGAAAAGAGGGCATTCTTTAAATTTTATGCAAAACAAAGGATTTTGCCCAGAAAGCAAGTGCAGTTGAGCCACTATGTAAAATGCGACAGCTGTCATTTTTGCTTGGGAGAAATCACATGCGACAGCAGTGTGATAATGAATTTCAAGTAGAGAATTAAGAAGAAGGAAAGTTAATTAGAAATAGCCTGCGGAGACAAATTAGTAAGTTAAAACACAAAAGCAGCATGAAGGCTGTTTAAAAAGCCACAGAAGGTAGCTGTAAACTAACAAGAACTAACTGGCAGATTAGTTAAAATGAGGAACGCTCTGTAAAGAACAAGAATTTGTTCACACTGAAGAAAAAAGAGCAGCCAGGTCACAGCACAGGTAAAAATGCAGGGGAAGAAAGAAGGGGAAGCACCTTTAAAGGTACACAAAAGAAAGTAAACTCAATGGGTTAGTAATTTTGGTAGCCTTTACTCCTGGACCACAGTAACGACAATTTTAGAGACTATGGCCTTCTTTTTTATTATACAGTAAAAATGCTCCTCCCTATTGTATTTTCTAAGGTAACATTTCACTAAAGGCTAGAGAAATAAAGTGGCCTTTTCATAAATTAAAAACAAAAAAGAACCAAAAAATAAAGAGGGCAGGTAAAATTTCAAATTTGCACAAGAGACAAAGAATACAACAGGTATCCAAATAGAAGTTATACTTGACAAGTTTGCATTTTTTAACTCTTCCTTATATTTGTAAAAAAATAGCTGACTTGTCCAAAAACTGCAGTAGCAACCAATTCTTTTGACAAAGCCACTTATTAGATAATGTTGTTAATATGTATGAGAATGAAGCTCTTGTTATCCACAACCAAAATGTTAATAGCAAAACATTAAAAGCAAAACGTTAAAATAGCAAAGCAGAGCGAGCTAACAGTTAAGTGGGAAAAAGGAAGGGGAAAAAAGAAAGGGCAGTCCAGAAAGATAAGTATAAGGTTCTGATTTAATATAAGTTAAAGGAGTTATATTTACCATATTGTAGCCAACTGAGCCTGTGGTAAACTTGATTGCATAAGGATAGTTCTTGCTTGTGGACCTAATGAATTAAATTAGAACAAGAATTAACACAAAAACAAGAAAAAAACAGTTTCCCTCTCATCTCCCACAGCCCCAAAATCAACAAATGTACCTTTCACTGTAGGGTTCAATTTTGAATATTTGATCTTGAATATTTTTAATTAAGACTATGTGAAGGGTCTGAACAAGCCACTACAGTAGACCAGAGCCAAGATATTTTACAAGAACACGTAAGATTAATGGATGTTATCAAGATTAATGTCCCCCACTACGCTGAATGTGTTTTCCTATCCTTTTTGAAGCTGCATGTTTTCTACCACGATGCATTTGTTGTCCCTCAGAACTGAGTTAATAAGGCCTCAGATAGCCAGGGATGTGCCCTCCAGGAGTCAATTTGCTACAATCAATTTTCTTTCTTGGCAATCTCCTGTAATGCACATGAGGAAGGCACCCTGAGTATGCTCAGTGCCTCCTCTGAATTGGGCTGGGTGACAGAGATACCAAGTCAAATGTGATCTCAAAAGAATTGTTGACAGCCTGCCAGCATGAAGTGTTACACGTTTTCCCATTAAAGAAACACTTTCACCCTGACAAACTTCATCACCTGGACACCAAGCTGTCAACAAAGGGCAGGAAGAATTCAGTCCTGGAAGCCTTTCCTCTTTGGGCTGTCAATAAGGATTCAGAAGCCCTGCCCAGCTATGCCAGCAGGAAAATGATGGGAGGCCCTTGTCCTGTAAAAGGTTAAAAAAAGGTTCAGAGGGCCTGGATCCAGCAGTCCCTCCCCACTGGAACCTTGAAATAGGGCTACTATGAAACTCTACATTTCAAGTAATTTATTACCCAGAAAATTAAATGATACAGAATCTGGTGTAATATTACTACTGCTCATGGAGCTATTGCTTGTTCCCCACCTTTTACACACCTGGAAAACTTATCCACTGGACAAGTTGACCTTTTCTATGCAGCTGACTTACAGCCTTTTTAGAACCAATGGCCAAAGCTCCATGCGACTAGAAGGTCAAATGAAGTCTTAAGGATAGCCAAATCCATTAAATTTTTTATGCAAGTGATCCTACATAAATACTCCCATTATGATTATTTATTAAATAGATCCCAATAGCCTAACCACTTTACAATAAACCATTACGAAAGCAGAAGGGGAAGAATAATGTCAGCAAGTAGGCAAGGGAACTTGCAGGTATCTAGTACTTCTCAGAAACTGGCTCCAGGTTCATCAGATGGCTTTTGAATTTCCTTTCTTAACTTCTGTCCATTCATTAAACAACCACCCTTCACAGGTGATCATTTGTTTGCTCTTAACTGTGACCACAGGACAGGTGGAAAACCTGAACACAGACAATAAGCACTTCTTTTCTACTGGATTACAGAAGGAGAGTCCCATGCTAAAGTAGTACTTTTCCAAGCACTATATTAACTGATTCTGATAACTGCAATGAAGGCAAAAAATAGTCTGAGAATAAGAATTGTTTTAATACCTGTTAAGTGTCCACTCATTGTTTTATCATGGCTATTGAACAGTTGCCTGTATTTCAGTCTTGATGATTGAGGAACAGCCCATTCTGCCACAGGAGGCACACTAGAATAAAGAGAGGAAAAAACAAACAAACAAAGGGAGGGTACTGTGATACCTGACAGCTTGTCTAAGTCTATCCCAACCATGTAGATGGTCCAATGAAAGATAGCCAAAAAAATCTCGTCTTGCATATTTCCTGGACTATCATGGCTACAACATCACTTGAACACTATCACATTTCATTACACATTTAATCACATGATGCTACAAGGAGGCTATATAGCAGTGCTGTTCAGAGTTCAAGTTGAATGCCTCATTTTCTTTTTTTCCAAATTTTCCCTTCTATTCTTGAAAATATGACACCACTAAATTTGTGTCTCAGAATAATTACCCTGTCCAAAAGCATATTTCTTAGGTCAACTGCTATGCTTGCCATGAATTGTTTGGTTTTTTTTCTGAATGATGGAAAGTAGTCAGAGTAAATGCTTTGGAAAAACCAAAATGTGCAAAAAACACGTTCAACAATGCAGTGGGAAAGATCTCATTGCAGGTGCTAGAAGCAGCATTTCTTATTTTACATTAGCCTTTGCTCTAGCCTTTTTAACCAGGTAACAAATCCAGAGGCCTACAATGGAAAACAGATTAAAAACAGGCCACTGAACAGATATAGCACAGTCATGGTCTTTCACTAATGAAGTGAGAAGGAAACCAGTAACCTAGTAATTATGAATACAAGCAGTATCTTGTACACCAGTGGTTCCCAACCTGCAGACCAGCATGGAAGCAGGACAGTGCACACGGAGCCGACTGCCTCCCTCCTGGGGCTTCCCAGCCCCACCGCTTTAACCCTGTATATCACTGCCGGCAGCGGAAGCCACTTGCCCAGGCAGACAGATGGGGGTTCGAGCAGGGGGCTTGTGCCATGACCCAGCAGCCAACCCTTCGCAGTCCGGTGGTTGGGAACCTCTATTGTACACTATACAGCTATTTCCAAGTCATCACTTATGCTTTATGCTGGAACAGAAAACAGAAATAAGTCTAAGTAATGAAAAGGTGAACTGAAAAGATTTAATAACACTGATAAGTGAAAAGCCACCATAGTTGTGTACATTTGTCTTCTGGCCTCTCTATTTCTTTCCTGTCATTGGTGTATAATAATGTAAGAATACTGAGATGTAATAATTTTATGGAATACTCTTTGCGAGTTAGTGAAGTGAGGTTTCTGTGTACTGGATAAATAGCTCTCCTGTCTGACGGTACTGATTTGCTTCTAATGCTTCATCCTGAATTAAATGTTTCTGCTTTGCCAGCTGGGTGCCTACAGATTGGAAGGACACTGAACACTTAAAAAGCTCTTCCAAGAAAGGCATTGGAAGAAGCTGAATTAGGAGGGGCTGCCCAAGAAGGTAGGTTCAGACAGAGAGAAGCTCTGCATATAGTTCTTTAGAACAGTGGTTTTCAACCTTTCTTCATTTGAGGACCCCTAAGAAATTTCAAATGTAGATTAAGAACCCTTTGGAAATTTTGAATGGAGGTGCAGACCCCTTTGAATTCTAAGTGTGGGTATTGACATGCTTCTGCTTGATCATAGTCACCTTTTGCAAACCCTTTAGACATAGTCTGTGGACCCCAGGGGTCCATGGACCACAGGTTGAAAACCACTGATTTAGAAGAATTATGTCCATTCTTGCATCTAGAAGAGGGTAAATCTTAGGGACTGGAAGGCACACATATAGGCCAGTTTTTCTAAACATCTGTTTTCTCTAAACAACGTTGCTTTAATAAGGCTGTGTTGTTATTGGTTATGACTGCCACTGGTCTATACAGAAACAGCTCTTCAGTGCCTACAGCTAAGTCAAACCCACTGAGTAAGCACGACTGGTTACTGGGGACTGCAGCCCAGAGACTGGTATGAGTGTTAGAACTGTGTGACCCTACTGCAGGAGAAAAGTGATGGACTCTGGAAAAAGTGGGGTGACCAGAAAGAGGCTAAGGTGCAGTTAGCACAGAAACTGTAACAACTATCTTAAAGAATATTCAGGTCTTTCAGCTAAAGTATCCCGGATTTGGCTCCCCTATGGAGATAATCATTATTACACCAGGTTGACTGCAGGGGGTAATCGCCTTTCCCTGTGGGGATTAGATCATGCTGTTTCCACTGCTTCCAGCACTACTGTTTTTGAGATAACAGTAGGTTTATTTGTGTTGAGTCATTTTTAATCTGCTTTATATAAAAGTAATAGGGGCATTTAGCACCTAGTATTATGATGCAAAGAAACCTTTTAATGAATATTTACTAGGGGAGTGGAGATTAAAAACAGGATTTAGATAGTTAACTAAGTGCTTCTTCCTACCCTATTTTCTTTTCACTGAAGAATGTTTGGGACTCCCATAAGAATGCTGAGCACTGAAAGTGGGCTTTCCGCTGTACAGCAAATGCTAACTCCTCTCTCCCCATAAAATTCTATTGAGTTAAAATATTTTGTGTCTGAAAGTTCTCTTCACAGTAAATGCTTGTAAAAAGCATGCTACAATTTTTTTAGTTCTTAAAAGCTACTTCTCTGCCTTCTAAGAATAATGTAAATACATTTCCATACTAAAAAAAGGAATAAATGTGTGATAAAGAAATACATCGTCCTCAGCAGACTGATGCTTTTCTGCAGAAACTTAAAAAAAACTCTAAATATTTGAACATGACTTGATACTTTTAGAGCAGCTACACATTAAATTTAAATGGCTTGTAACGTATTTGGTATTTCACACTGAATGAAGACATTGTATAAAAAATCCTCGGAAGTAATAACTCAACAGGCTTTGACCGTCAATTAAAGATGTTATTAACCTGTTACAGTGCACTGTGTGCGCAAACACACTCCACAGTAACTTACCTAGCCACATCAAACGATTGTGCCTTTTGCAGTTTAGTGTTTAATTGTGACCCTGGACCAGATCTACTAAAGGAAGAACTCTTTGGCAATGTGGCTGTAATAATAATAATAATAATAGTGTTAATACTAAAAAGTAAAGTTAAAATATAAAACTGCACAATTCAAGCAGCGAATTCCTACTAGAACAAATCAAGTATTATGATATGAAATTTTGATTTTTTTTGTAATGTTCTTGTTGAAATAACGAGATTAATTAGTCTCTTACTGTTCTACAAAAATAAGACACATGCATATCTTTGTGCCTTTCAACATTTCCAGATTGTTACAAAAGTTTAGTTGGTAAATTGAAAAGGACTATAATTATAAAATAATGTGGGATTTGTGTATCCTACTATTTTAAAATAATCTAAACAATGGCATTACCTTAATAATTAAAAATAGGCAACTGTACCATTTTGTAGGTATTGGTTCAGATTAATGGGCAAGCTAGTTTTGCCACGCTGCCACTACAATGTTTACATTTTGTTCAAAATGATTTATGGTTGGCTTGGACACACAAAGATCCAAAAAAGCCAAGTAGCCAAATTTTGAAATCTAAACACCTATGTTTCTTCCACTGAAGGCTTACATTTGTTTTAGTTCATGAAAGAGCTTACAAACTTCACTGGAATTAAAACAACATAAGTGCAGTCATTAAATCAGCTATAGATGCTAATATCATGTTCTGACACTTTGGACCCAGAGAAAACTGCACAATAATTTGTTAGTAGCAAGGAAGTAAACAGTTCCAGTATGCAGCATACCAGGATGAGCAAAAGCAGGCAGAGGTTGTATAACAGCAGGAGCTCCATTAGCCAGGGGAGGCACTGCTGCTGTAGGAACAGAAGATACTAGTGGTGGAGACATCCCTACTACTGGAATGGATGCCATTGGCACTGGGGCGACAGCTGTAAGAGACGGCATGCCAGCAATACCCCCAATACCTATGTACAAGACAAGGAAATATAATTTTTTTGCATTTAGAATCTTTTGTACCAGACCAGAATATTAGGACTGCAGTTTTCAGAATTTCTAACAAACCTAAAATAAAATAGGTTGAGGTGAAAAGGAAGACTAATAAATGTCAAAGTTACCAATCAGCTAGTGTCAGCAACATGAAATGACTCGGGAAGAATGACGTGCATACACATTATGGGAACCTACTGACTGCAACACTAACCACAGAACTATTAACATTTGGTATAGTAAGTAGCTGACCTGGAGCTACATGAAGAACAGTACTGTCAACTACTAGTAAGTAATGAGATCACAGTCTATATTAGACACATTAGAATGATCTTCAGACGAACTGTTTATAAACCATTGTTGAGATGAAACAGTGCAAAGCGAATAGGGTAAACACACAGTAATGAGGTATTTCAGGGGTGAGAAGAGTTGCACAGGTAATACGGAGCTTTAGGAGATCTAGTGATGCCACTGGAGAAGAGTGAGACTAGCAGGCAGGCAGCTGGATCAGGTTCTATAGTAGGCTAAGAGACTAACTGACTGCTGGATTTCTTCATAAGAAAGTTTCAGTTTTTTTAATATGCTATTTCTCCCTTAAGTCCAATACTCAGTATGTTCATTTTCACTGAAACATTACAGCCTAAAATTAAATCTGACAAACCAAAAGGCAAAAGTTTTAGGAAAAAGCCACCCATGCTTTAAAAATGGAGAAATTTTATGCAATACTTACCACTTCCATTAACTATTTCTTTTCCTTTTTACGGTGGCAATGTTTCCCAGGTACCTATCATATCATGAGCCATGGCAAACTAACAGAGAAAGGAGCTTCCACTAGTGGAGTACAGCAGGAGAAACTCAACAGGTTAAGCATTTACCCATTTATTGTAAGCAGTCTCTTTCAACCCTGTCTTATCTCAATATAAAAGTTTTGCTCAATGTTTTAATATAGGTTATCACCACAGCATATAATTCTGCTCTTACCAAACCCTGGTGCACCAGAAATAGCAATGGGTGGTTGCTTCATGACAGGGGGCAGTGCAGGGGGGAGCTGATAACCTTGTAGTTTTAGTTTGATAAGTTTCATAGCTATAGAAAATTCCAACTGGTCCATCCTCCCATCATTATTCATGTCAGCCAGTGCCCTACAAATAAGGAAGATTTGCAATTATATTTTTAAATTATGAATTTGTGAATTCTCTGAAAAAGCAAAGGGCAAAAAAAAAATCACATATTCAGGAACTCAAAAAACCCTCACATAAGTCCTACACAGGACAACATGCGAAAGAGAATATAGCTAGTAAATAGTAGACCACAAGCTTCCCAATTTCTTCTTCTGAATGATGAAAAAAAGAGATTTCTAAAGTTATATATCACTTTGCAGTAGAATTGTAGTGCAGCAACCTGAAAGGAAGGATTAGTGTAATTCTACAAGAACTTTGCTAAGTTGCACAAATAAAGCTACATGGTACCGCAAACAGCACCACAGGGATCCAAATGACTTAGTCAACAAATTTGTACTTCAGCTACTCCCATAATAAAATGCTCTTTAAATTCATGCCTTGTACTAAACACCATTATAACTGCAAGTGTACAAATGCGTTTTCAGTCAAACAATAGTATTCAAGTATAAAGCAGTAAGCCCAGTTTCTGAATAGGCTTTCATGTAGAGTAGTCTCTGACTTAACAGTACATCAAATGAAGAAACAAAAAAGATATTGTTTCCTTAAACAGCGCGCAGCAGGGAATAGTGTTGATGAGGAAGGAGAAGCCGGAGACAGAATACCAGTTCTTGCAATAGGAACAAGATAAAAAAAACGAAATACCCATTAATGATTTAAAAAACTGTAAATTTAGTTTATGACATCAGACCACTTTCTTTATACATATCTTAAAAATAAAGTACAAAATACAGGATTCTTTCCAAAACAAAACTAAAAGACAGTTTACATTATTATGTTCCATATTAATGCTACAGCAACACAAATTGACTACTTAAATCATAGGAGCCAGGCAGTTAAACTACAAGTTTATATCTAACTAAACCTGCACCAAGGAAAGCATTTATACCAGAGGTGGTCAACCTGCAGCACACACGCCATAAATGGCACAAGCAGCCTTTGTGTATGGCACACAGCAGACTGGGGAAAGGGCAGGCAGCACAGTGGCAGACAGGGCAGGGAGCAGAAGTGGGCACAGAAAGGAGATTAGAGTGGTACATGGGGAGGGCATGGGGTTTAATTTATGGCACGCCTGTCAAAAAGGTTGGCCCTCACTGATTCATCCAATTAAGACAAAGGCCAACAAAAAATGATCCCTAAGAATTGGCAATAATGAGCAATGTCTGACAACTAAATGCATCATGTGACCAGGAAGGGGAAAGACCATCCCAAAGTAAGCTAGGAAGATTGCTAAAATAGGCAAAATCTATCTACTGCCATAGACATTTATATAGGGCCAGTCACTACTGCCCCGCACATCTGGTATAAAATAACAGTAACTCCTCAAGCACAGAGATGCTCCTGATGCTCTGTAATACTGTAGGCCAGATTCTCTTGAGGCAGAAATAATCACCGGGTCTCTACTGACTCTCTATGTAGCCAAGTTGATTTCTGTCATTTGAGAATCTAGCACTAAACTTTACAGGGGAAGAGTAAAAAGGCCTGGCTGTGGGTTCTGTGGTGTAAGAGTTAGGGGGAAAAAAGGTATGCCTTATATCTAAGGAGCTATGCAATTCACGATTTCATAGATATTGTGAAATCAGGCATTATCTGTAAAATTGGGTAACGTCCACAAAATCCGCAGAAAAAAAACAAAGCTAGTAAAAATAAAATGCCAGGTCCCCAGTGGGAGCCAACAGTCTCATGGCTGCACATGAGAAAGGGGGAAAAGGCAGGAGGGGGGCTGCTGGCACAAGGATGGCTGCCACCCCCACCCCTCATCACTCACTGGCTGAGAAGGCTGCCTGTCATGTGACCCCACCCCTCTCCACCAATCCATGGCAAGGGGTGGGGCTGCATGACAAACAACCCTCTCAGCCAATTGGTAGCAAAGAATGGGGACACCCGGGCTTCTCAGCCAATCAGAAGCATGGCGCACAGCGGGGGAACTGCTGCAATAAGCCCATGTATAATCATTATTGTAGGAACAATAATACTAGAGAACTGCTGTGGAACATGCTGAATACCACTGCTGTTCCAAGTCTGCATTCAGGTCATGTAATGGACAATGCAGTTTGTTAGACTTTTTCTCTCTATCGCCAATATAATATACATATATTTACTAGTAAAAATGGATGTAGTGGTTATGTTAGATTCCTAGGGATCCCAATTTGTTATAAGTGGTACTTCTCTCTGATGATCTGAACAGTTTCACAAAAAAATACTAAAGATGAGGCCAAATACATTTGTACTGTCAGAATTTCTACCCAGAAATCCAAAGATGTAAAGGCTTAAGTTCTAACCCTTCTACAGTACCTATCCCACCTGGATTTTGCATTTGGAGGTAAATCAATGTATTGGAGATGCATAGGGGGTGCATGTGCACCCCCCGAGATTGGCCGTGCACCCCCTGGAAGCACCAGACACGAAACTGGAAGTGCTGGTGGAAGTGCACTTACTATTTCACCACTGGTGGTTCCAGGCTCAGCCGCTGGGGAACACCACCCCTGTTAGCGATAGGCTGAGGGGGACCACCCTCCATCAGCGATCTGGTGCCCCCCCCAGACTCAGGAGGCACACATTGCTCATGAATCAATGTACAATTAATATAGAAGAGGCAGTAGCCTTCCTCACAGATTATCAAGCTTTAAAGGAGAGAGAAGGCAGGTGCAGACACTTAAGTTACTTTGATGTTTACAAAAGAACACCATACAATTTAAAGGCAAATAAAAAGCCACTACATAAAACTGTAAATAAACTTTTCAACAGGGTACACATCTTTCTTTTGGTTGACGTTTTATTCAAGGGTTACTTACCCTTCCTTCAGACCCCAACTTCCAACTGGTAGGTTAAAAAAAAAGTTTGTTTATATTGGTTCAAATGGTTAACTATATAATAAATCAGAGAAAGAACTGGTCAGGACAAACCTACCCTAGCAAGTTTATTTGATCAGGCAGTGGCTTTCCCATTGAACAGATTCCCCTCCTTTTAGAAATGTAAGCTTGTCAACTTTGCCATGACCACGAGCATTGTTGGATTCAACAATTAAGACTGATTGTGATGCTTGATGTAGATGTACAACAATGGGCCAAAAATAAAATAAGCAAGCATCTACATCTGTAACAGTACTCATTTGTTAAGTCTAGAAAACTACCACATCTGCATCAGCTTGTATTTACTAATTACTCTAGAAACAGGGGCAGGGAAAATGTGGCCCAACTATCCATCATCCGCTACTTTCTCCCTTTCTGGCAATACATTTTTACTGTAAGAAAACACTGCGCAATTAATAATAAACAGAAATTTGACAGGCATGCATCTTATTACTACAACTGAATAAGGCTACTCCCTTTCTGCTTACTTAGTAAAATCTTTCATTTTCAGTTAGTGTCTGCTGCTCAACTCAAGTATTACAAGTCAACAGTTTTGCCATTTATCTGGCTTAAGACAAATTTCAGAGAGAGACACTAAGTTCAAGGTGAAGGCTACAGGGTTTACATACAATTTGAATAAGCTGACAGATGTAAAACATTAGGTTTTTGTATCTTAAAGGATTTATTTAGAACAACTGCCTATTTCTATTTTTTTAAAGACTCTAGCCCCAGACTATATGACTGCAATGTTGCTTTTGTATAAATGTCGCTTTAAATTTGGGCAACTGACAGTAACCACCACCTAATTTCACTAGTTTATATATAACAAAATTAGGAAGAACTTAATGTACATTAATTCATTTTAGTTAAGACCTGGCCAGAAGCCAGTGTAGAAGAGTAAGTTGATTACAGAATTATTATATCTATAAAACATGTCTGTGTTTATTATCATGGATTACTTTTAACTTGAATAATTGCTAGGAACTATATTATCTATTTATGTATTATCTATTTATTTATTGATATACTGTTTACCAATCATCAAGCTCCAGTATGCTGATGATGCTATAGTGTGTGCTCACTCAGAAGCAGACTTTCAGTCAATCATTGACATCTTTACTGAGGCATACAAGAACTGACGCTTAACATTCAGAAGACTAAGGTCCTCTATCAACAAGCTCTTAATGAGCAGTTCCCAGCTCCAGTAATTCAGATTCACAGTAAGACTCTGGAGAATGTTGAGAATTTCCCGTACCTCGGAAGCCATCTCTTACAGAAGGCTGACATCAATGAAGAAATCCAACATCACCGCAAATGTGCAAGTGCAGCCTTCAGACATCGGAGGAAACGGGTGTTCAAAGATGGCAACATCAGATCCGAAACAAGCTCATGGTTTATCAAGCAGTTGTGATCCTCACCTTACTGTACAGAGCTGAGATGTGGACAACATACAGGAGACATCTCAAGCCACTGAAGAAGTACCATCAATGCTGCCTATGGACTATTTTATATAGCCAGCAGGAAGAGAAATGCACCAATGTTAGCATCTTCTCACAAGCAAACACCATGAGCATCAAGGCAATGATCATACAGCATCAATTTCACTGGGCCGGCCATGTCACCCAATGTCCAACTCCAGATGCCCACAGTTAGTTTTATTCTCTCAGCTCAGTCAAGGCATATGCTCAAGAGGAAGACAGAGAAAGTGCTTCAAGGACATCCTCATGGCCAAATTGAAAAAAATGCAATATCGACATCAACTCATGGGAGAATATTGCCCAGGAGTACCCCAGGTGGAGGAAGATCCTGGTGCAAGGATCTCAGTACTTTGAAACCTTACGACAACAACAGGAGACAGAAAAGCAGGAGCAGCAGATATGGTATGTTGCAGATTGAATCAAGAACCTAGAGCCATCCACCTCATACAGAAACATGTGCCTGAGCTGCAACAGAGTCTGTCAATCCTAGTTGGACCTCATCAGCTATCTTCAGACCCACAGATGAGACATGGAAGACAACCATCCTTGCCTGCGAGATTGCTGATGATATCCATAAAATATGTCTGTGTTCATCATCATTGTTCAACATCATTGTTTTTAGCTTGAAAATGTA